GCAGCGCCACAGAAGGGGTCGAAGGCATTGTCTTTCCTTACATTATATTGCAAAACCCCTGAATTTTTTCAGTTAGTTCCCCTTTATTGCAAACGTCTTCACATATCTTGTTTTCACTTATACACTGATTTACAAAATAACTTTTTGTGCTACAAGAACAAAACAACCTGTTTCTAGAAAGTAGTTTGCCCCTGCGTTCCAATTTAATTTGAGTTTTCCTGTAACGGTCTCAGTTTTGATATGGCAATTGTTTCTGTAAACTCGTACGTATCCCTTACTCTACGGCTGCCTTCACACGGAGCCACTCGGTGGCGTCACCGAGAAGCGGTAGAGTCCTTCACACACAGCCGCCGCCGAGCGCCACAGACCGCGAGAGAGTAGGGATTCGTGAGGTCACCCCCTATGGGTTCCGGGGACCGCACGACAGCCGGCAGGTGAAAACCGGTTCATTGGCGCATCCGAGTGGTCTATTAGGAAGGCTGCTGTTTAGATCTGTGTTCGGCTGGCAGTGGTGCGTACGCGCTTCTGCACTACTGGTGGCCGGACTTCGCCATCGAGTGTCACAGCAGCATGACTACGCTGCTCGTCTGAATACCTCCATTTAAATCAATGCTGTACAAGTAGACGCCCCACTCGTAAGGGCTGCTGAGTGGCGCCGTGTGAAGTGGCTCTTATATCTACGTGGTGAAATGACACTCGCAACAAAATATCCAAACAGCAAAAATAATTCTAGTATATACGCAAGCAAAGAAAAATGCCTAAAGTTGTTTCATTTCTTGCAAAAAATTGAAGAAAATAGGGCATAGCGGTCACAAGTAACCTTCAATGTCGTATCGAAAAAAGTTTGCATTATTTTAAATGCGAGTCTAAAGATTATTCTGTTGCTTCGACAAATTTAAATCTATAACAAGTCGTTCTGCGTGTTTTCTGCGTGTTTATCACTGTATTAGTCACTAGTATTAGCAACACTGTCACAGTCACTAGTATTAGCAATACTTCACTGTGATGTATAGGGTTTTATAGGTAATGATAAATTAGAATATTGTAGCTTTCCTAGATTTGAGGTAATTTGAGCTATTTTTTATCAGACACAAATCACAGACCATTATGTGATCTGTTTGCTCCCTCCACATCAGGGGGACATCAAAGGACACGTAACGTGATCCTTTTAACCATTCTGTCAGGAGTGAATAATTAACAGCATAACTGAGGAACCTATTTCTTGATCTGGTTGCCAAACTTATACACAAGATCGTATCCATTCTTTACAAATGAATTGAGTTTATCGCCAACTACTCTCATCTCTCGACATGTGACGGCCACTAGTGTCGTGGTTGACCTATCAACGTATAACTTCAATTCTCAATGGAATTACTAATTATCGTCAGTTTTCTATTGCATCTTCAGATGTACCTGATGAGGAGGCGACACAGCGCTTCGAAACGTAGTACCAAGCATGTTGATAAAAATAAGATTTTAACATGTATGCCTTTAAATATTTTTTAAATAAAGAAAATAGTATGTCTATAAAATAGAGGTGTTACTTTAAATTGTATTTCTTTAACAATAATTATAGAGATTTGCTTCTTTATGAAATACAAGTATGCTCTTCAAAATTAGTTTTTTGTGTAAAATTCCTACCTTACAGTTTTTTTACAAATATAAATAGCTTTTGATTAATTTTAAGTTTAATTATGAAAAAGTTGAAATGTTTTCCATCCCCATATGTCACATACAGTTTTTACTGCTCATTGACAAAATAAAATCTGCCTTAAGACTTTAGTACTGATGCTATCTATTTCTTTTTTAGTGCAATGTATTTCCCAATATCAGACCTTTTAATCATTTGAAGTTTTTTTTCAAATATGTATAATTCTCGTTATTGTTGGGAAATTGTTCTGAAATATGAATGTAAACCAACAATATTCCGATTGCCGGCAATTTCGATTCAGTCAAAGCTCAAATGGAATATCCATACAACTGAATTAAACACAGCATTAAGTTCATTTTGTTTACGCATTCAGAATTCTTTCAAATTATGTCGGCATTCTTGCAGCTTGTTGCGTGATCTTTGGAAATGTACATTCTCGCCTATGATAAAACATGACATTCTGGAGAAGCACATTATATAGTACACAAGTTTAAATTTCAGAAACAATTATAAGAATAATAAGCAAATGCCATCCACGTGATTCCTGCAAGTATCTCTTCATTGAATTTGAAATTTGTCACATCTTTTCCTGTATAGTTACGAATATGTGATTTTTTTTAAACTTATTTACTTAATGATGGGATCATATTTTCCTACAATACCGATGTCTATAAATGCAACTTACGCCGTAGAAATCACATTTATTAGATGTCATTGCCATCAGTTCACAACAAGAACTCCATATATAATACAATACATTGCCAGATGACATTAAACAATTAAAATCGATACTCAAATTTAAGTTCAAAGTAATACATTTTCTGCTGCATAACTAATTTTATACAAATACAGACTATAGTGTCTATCAGAAAGGAAAAATATTAGTTATTTTAATAATGATATAACGTACGCCAGAAAAGTCTCTCCGCACTGAGCTGAGTCACGGACTCGCATTAAAATTTACATTTATGTTGGTAGCAACTCTACCTTTGGGAAACAAGTGAAGGGGACAGCACTTTTAGCATCTGTTATGATTGTAGTCTGTTTATGGTACCAACATAATTTCGCTTGCTAGCACTCTCACTAGCCACTGGTACCAATGCGGAGAGACGTTCGTGGCGCAGTGTATATTGCAGTAATTTACATTCGTATTGGAAAATTTTAAAACGACTTAATACGCCTGAAAAGTAATGTACTTGAGCTTGTGGGTCAATGACCTCACATTAATCAGGTTTTTATCCAGTTGCCCTGATTAATGGAGCAAATGCTGAGATGGTCACTTGTTTTTCTTTTGCGCATAAATGTAGCTTCATTTATGGGCATTTTTTGTAGAACTCTCTTTTTGCTAGTTGTGGTAGGTGGAGAGCCGGGAAAATGGGTTACAAGTTTGTTAAATATACTTAAAAAATGAAATATGTAGTTCGTTTATAGATGAAAATACGTTTTCTATAATTAGGGAGAGAACATTTCTAATTTGTCGAAGCTGCTAATCTTGCTTTGCTGGGATTTGCATTCGCCATTCAATTATTTATGGTTAAACTGTGGGGCCGAGATTATGGAGAGCGCAGATTGTTCTTCTCCCCAATACGTCACATAACAAATGCTTGCCTCCAGTTGAGCAGAGTACATTCACAAATATGGTAAAACTCTGATTATCATACAAATCTTTTAATTTCCGAAAATTGGTAATTCGAATCTCACAAAACATGATAAATTTGGAACTTAATTTTTATGGATTCACAAATTGTTTTTTTTTGTATAAATTCGTAAATCATCCCAAGTACAAGGGGACCCTGTTTGAATTAATCGAGACAAGTTTGTGTGAAATGATACTTACTTGTACATAGTATAATGCCCTTCAATTAATATTACAATTGCGATTAAATCATATTTGTTATGTAGATGGGTAAGAAATGGGTACTGTTTATGTCTACTAAAGTCATTAAAGATGCACATCTCAAGCGCTATGGAGTTTTTCAAGTTGTCTCAAGAGTTGGTGTTTCAAGGGTTGGTGAAGAGTTTTTCAAGTGATGGCTGGGACGTGTAAAAAGGGGGAATAATTACAATAATATGGTATTATGAAACAATTATTAATACGAGAAAGCGCGTGCTGTTGTAGCACCATTATTTTATGTTGGCGCACTTCACAAACCCTAGAAACGTTAGTGGAAGATAGTTCTCTTTAAATCCTTATTATTTTTTAACATCTGAAGGTCTTCATTTTATCTAAAATAAGCCATCTACTTTAATATTTACATCAGATTTGAGAGAACTGCTTTATTTTTAGCATGTAAAATAAGATATTTTCTCGTAATTTTATAGGCTGCGTGCGATTTTTCGAAGGATAAAGTTGTTACAATATAATGTCGAAATCATGTAAAATGATATTTCTGACGTCAGTGTTTTTAAGTACGAGGTACAATCTCGGTTATAAAATGTATTTTTGAAACAAAAATAAAAAAAAATACACAAGCAAAACAACTTTACCCTAAAATACACTTCTGAACTACGAAATAATGTGCTTCCCACGAGAACACGTACCATCCAAAGAATTTCAAACGGACTCGTTCAAAATCTATATCTAAACGTCGATAAAAAAGGAAGTGGCAGGAAAATAGAGGAAACATCTTACTTGCGTTAGAACGATGTGAACAGTTGAACCATGTGTCAGAAATATCAAGCCATTTATCTATGACGGAACAGAGAAACTAAAGTTAGATTGTGGGTTATGGGGCGTAAATCGTTCTTGACATATACAGCCACTTCTCGACGGAGCCCTTGCGCGTGTCCCTCGAAATAGACGGCCGCCGATCGCCGCTTCCGCAGCCGCCTCCGAATCGCCCCCCCTCCCCTCCGCGATTCCCCAACCCCCGCGGGCCACCCACGCGCTGCGGCTGGGCCCTCGCATGCGACCCTCTTCATTTGTTCTGTTTGTTTTACGTCAAAATACAATGAAAACTATTTGTGACGCATGCAGAAGAAAGCACTGTTACAACGTCTCAGTTTGAACCTAGTTGTGGCAGTAGATCATGGGTTACTGTTATTGTAGTGCGAGATGCGGAGAGGGGCAGGAACGGATATGCGAGTATCGCCGCAAGGCGCCTCCTTCCACTGGGATTGTGGGGGTGGAGCGGCAGCGGGAGTAACAGCATGTACCGCCACCACAACAAATGGTAGAGTGACTAATGATGTACTTCCTTGAATATATTCATTAGAGTGCGGATCCCAGGGGCCGCAGGGAGTGAAAAGAAAGAGTGAAGA